TATATACTAAGATAGAATTATAATCACCATTAAATTTCTTAGATAAAGTAGGCGTACTTGCCTAACATAAGGAATTGCAAGTGCTTCATTAGCACAATAAGGGTGGAAGCGAGGTACTTCAGTAAAAGAGGGATGACTAACGATTGTAGGCTTTTTTAGAGCGATTTTATCAGCTAGAGCTTTTGCATTGGCGAAATATTCCTCCGTGATAGGTGACAGAGGACCAAGATCAAAAAGGCCTAGTTTTGAAGGTATATAATCTATTTTATCTATTTCAGCACTCCATGCGGACGGCATACTTTGTGTTAAATCAACCTGTTTTTTGTGAGAAAATACTAAGTTTTCAATTAATTTAAAAATTGAAGCTATTGAATTCAGACATATGCTTACCCATGGTGACTTTAAGTATTATTTGAACGATAAATGTATTTGATTGTTTTGTAAATAAGTTTACTAAACAAAAGAAGGTTGTTTATTTATTTAAAATTAATGCTCACCAATGCAATAGAACCCCCTGGCAAAGGTAATCCAGCATCCCTTAAAAATAAGAGCAATGCAAAAACCAAAGTGCCACCTGCACTCTCGCCAGACAATACAATTTTTTTAGGATTGATCGGTTCAAATCCAGCTTCTGGTCCAGGATTTATAAGATATAAATACGCAGCGATAGAATCACAAAGAGCAGCTGGAAATTGATTTTCTGGCGAAAGGCGATAATCAAGTGCTGATCCAACAAAAATTGATCATATTAAAGATTGATTACGATATTAAAATGCAATTAATCAGAATAACTTACCAAAAACACGAGAATTAGCAGACTCAGCCAATTTGAATGTAAACGTTCTAGCAATTTTAGAAGAACCGAAACGAAATGCACCACCATGCAAATATAAAACCACATTATCAGCTTCACAATTTTTTTCATTAACATGAACCCATTCCCCACGTAATCCTCCATCATTTGGTTCTTTCCATTTCTCGTCTAACACATCTTCATGTTGTTTCAAAATCTTTTCTAGATGCG